AAATAATCATCTGTAAAATGTTTTAATTTATCAACTTATTAATAATTTATAACATCCAGATAAGTTAACAAAAATTGAGATAGCGAACATCTAACAGGAATTCTTTTGTATATATTCACACATAGTATATCTATGCCTCTTATATGTATGTACACATTCATACAGTTCAAAAGCTGTATTCGATTTGAACGCTAACGCGCTAGCGCTTATTATGATCATTTTACCTTTATTGTTCATTAACTTTTAGACAATCTACAATTCGCAATCAAATTGGGAATAGAATTCTATTTATAATTTTGCATGTCGTGTAACGTAGAAAACATTGGAAGAAATAAAATATACACATATAGAAGATATATATCGCTATATATTTTCTATATATTTCTTCCAATGTTTTCTATGTTACACGACATGCAAAATTATAAATAGAATTCTATTTCAAATTTGGTCGCGAATTATAGATTGTCTAATAGCGTTTTCGATTGGGGTGCACTGGCTGCACTCAGTGTCAAGAGCGTGTTCGATTGGCAGTGCCAATGCGCACTTGGCTAGTGTCACGTTCATTTGATCGCACGACACTCGCGTAGTGCGCACTCAGTGCGCACTAAGTGGCACGAGATATTTTGACGGTGCCAGTTCAGTGCACGTTTTATCACAGTTAAGGATATACATAGGGACAAGCAAATCTGCGCAGTTGAATTGAAAACGGGGTCTTGTCCCTATTCTTAATATCTTTTACTGTGGTTTTGTAACATTTTGTTGAACATTGCTTCAAAGTGAACAAAAATGAGTTTCAGCTTTAGCACTGAAAATTTTGGCGTATTCTTTTGAACTTGCACTATTCAGTGCAACCCATGGAACTCGTCCAGTGTTGGTGTGAACTGAGTGCGCACTGGTGCGCACTAACTTTTGCCCAATCGAAAACGCTATAAAATATGCGCTTAGGCCATAGAACATAATAAAACAAGAATGGAAACGCTGACATCGTCAGTATAGTACATGTGCCACGCCATTAGGATCGCGGTAATCCTGTTTCCTCTAGAGA